CTTCACCGGCGACTCTCATGGAGTTCCTCACTCCTGATGACTCGAGCGGATCGTAGCGCGTGCCTGTTATAGGAGAATACACAACAGAATAATCACCCACGAAGATGTCCTCCCCATCACGACTAAGACAGATGTGAGGAAATGTTGTGTACAATTATCTTCTGTAATTTTAGATTCTTGTGATACTAGTCTCCCTTGCTAGCCTAGCGTATACTCTATGACTACTGTATTGATCATACGTTAGAATCACTTGTTGATGACTCTTGTTGAGTTATCTAATCCTAACAACAGAGTTGGCAATATGACTTGATCGGTGCAGGAAAATATGCACATGGTCGACCACATTTGCTAATGACAATATGAAAATTGTGACACTTGTCGGTTTCTGTGCACTTCTACCCGAAGTCGTGTGTGAACTTCGTAGGAGCTCACATGAGTCCATAAAAGTTACGTTTATAATGAGTGGTAAAACCCCTGAGCTCAGCTGAGGCAAACAAACTTTACTCCAGCATTGATATTTTACTCACCGACGGCGATCACGACCGTAGGCTCCGGTAGCCGAAACCTGCAAGTAGCGAGACATATCGGGGTCTCGCGATTGAGACCATCCCCGATGTCATCCGAGGAAAAGGGAACTAGTCGTGACAAAGCCACCGGATAGCCCATGGGGTCGTTAAGGTTGGCTGATTATAAAAATCGCTCAGATTTGCATTCTCATGATAGCATGACAATCTCACCTGCCGGACCGATGCTTTCCGGTTTGATCGACACTTTAGCTACAGCCCAACGTCCAGGACTGGGCAAACGACACAGAGTGAATGCCGTATTCTTATCAACAACTTCGAGTGTCCGACAGAAATATGGCATCGCCTGAGAAAAGACGCGGAGAACTTCCACGACATTTCACATCCCATCCGACGTGGTATTCTGTGCTCACTAGCTCCTGAAAGGCTATGCTTGGCCTCACATGCAGTGAAGAAAAGGAGCACTGTTTGAATATATGCTCGCCTATATGAGTGCCCTCACTAACTATAAAAGCTTACATACGAATTCGGGCAAATGTGTACAGAAACTAATGAGAATTCCCCAATTGGAATTTTCTCATGACTTCCTCATTGTCACCAACACATCTAGTTGGTGCCGCGCATATTCTCCCACACTCAAAAGGGTGGGCGACCTTACATAATTGAATGTAGCACATGGCATGATGTTGTGATCGATTTTACCTAACAAAACGAAATTAAGAGTAATGTAAAAATCGTCTCCTTACCAATGATAAGGTAAGGCCTCGTATCAGGTAAGGCAGCAGTAGTAGCTACAACAGCTACTCTCCCACCGGAGCCTATCGCCCCGAACAGCAACGGCACTACTCCCAAGCACATAGGATGTACAGAGAATGCAAGTCCTTTCGACTCCTTCTCATCAACATCTGCGAGGCAACCTGTAATATCAAAGGGCGAGTCAAGGAGAGTATTTCATAGGTTGTGACTGGTACTCGAGGACAGATACAGTATACGCCGACTTGTTATGGAAATGTAAATAGCGCGTGTTATTTTCTGAGATTAATTAGAATCGATCTGAAGACTATATCGCATAAACAATGTAAACATTGCTATGAACATGTGATGTGATAAAAGTAACCTTTCGAGACTATGATAGCGACAAGTTGTTCACTATCATTTATCCCGAAATTCTTCACATTTGCATATAAAATTGCTACTCACTGTGGAGTGAGCCATTAGTATTCACAACATCAAAAATACAGCGAAATGTCGGCAAAGATGTTCCTGTTAACAACCCTCACTTATACTTTTCTCTTTAGTGGTTTCGTTGGTGCATTTGTTGGTAGTATATTCCAGCAGAACTGCGAGGGAAGAGTTTTTGAAGAGTGCGACAGGAATGCTATTTTCATCCGAGATTTCCATGTTGATAATGCTTGCAGCGCTACCCGACGGTCCACCCTGCACCTAAGGCGAGGCACGTGCATGTTCATAGTGTGATTAGATTGGCCAACAGACGAGCGATAGACTATTATCCGAACCACCCCGGTTCAATTCCTGGTTAGAGCCTAGTTTGCAACTCAGGTTAATAGGTGCTGATTCATAAGATTGAGTTCTCCGATAGAGATTACTCTCATTGTAATGAACATTATAGCGCTACTTTATTATATGTCATCCCAGCAGTTAAGCAATGATAAAGTTAAGCGACGACTATCATCACGCTCCAGACTACTCAGCCGTTCCCTGCTCAAACATATCACCTCCGACAATAAAGAAGTATCAGGGGCTTCGATCGAACTCAACTACAAGCTGCTACGCAATACGTGTACGACACACCTCACACGGGTGTGAAATGGGATAGGAAACTCCCACAGCTTACCCCTCCTAAGGATGTGAAGCCTCCACTATCGAGTAGAAGATGAAATACATCACCATCTCGACTACCCACAAATACATACACGCCGGTATCTGATTAGCAACTATCATATTCGGGTATATTTGGAAATGGGAAAGACGATCATAAGGAGTCGTAGTTTGTGACAGTTCGAGCAAGGGCGGACCACAGAGTGTGTCAATTTGATAAGCACATGTGAAAAATGTGTATTTTCTATTCCGGGATTAATGATAGTCGCTATCAAAAGGTTACTTTTATCACATCACATGTTCATAGCAATGTTTACATTGTTTATGCGATATAGTTTCACATCGATTCTTATCAATCTCCAAAAATAACACACATCTGACACGAACTATAATACACGAAGACTTACCATCATCCGTCATTCCACTAAAGCATATCGATTCTGGAACTAAAATCTCAGTGGACTTCTCGCCTGAATTTGCCAGAGCAGTAATCGATCGAAAAGGCGCAGCGACTTTTACCTTTCCGGAGTATCAAGTTCTGCTTCAACTCAATAACCTTCCTATTAGATATACAATAGAGCTCCATGGTTCCCAAGAAAGTGCCCAACACGAGTAGTTCATCTCGTTGTTCGCCCACAGGAACAGGACAGAACTCACCTAACACTTACTTCACCACAGAGACACGTTTCTCCTCACAAAAAGTCACGCCATTTTTCCAGCTTGTCGTCATCGAACAGCTGCAAAGGGGTACCAGCCTCTGAAGAAAATCATGTTCAATCTTCTATAAAACATGCAAGGTAACGCTGAGCATACAATGCGTGGCTCAGTAAGGGCGCGCGAACATAGCCCGTCATTGAAAGCATGCTAAAATGATTGATAATACAATTGCTTTAACACGTGTAAAATTTGTGGTTGCTATAAAAATTGATACTAAACTGGGTGATATCTACTTGCTGTAAAATTTTATACTTTGTGTAAAATTTATGATTACAAATTTATGCTATAAATGCATCACTTACTACCAAAATATTCATGAACTTAATAGCGAATATTAGTGGATATAGATATAAATTATCGGACGATGTGCTAATCAAAGAAAGTAGTTGCAGGGCTGTGATTACTACAAGGCGACAATGTAGGAAGAAATGAACATGACCGACTATGCATGTATAGAACAATACGATAACATTCTGGGAGATCCTCATGCCTATAATTTTACATGTTTTTTTCATTTTTTGAAGCTGGGGAAGGAAAACATGCATTTACCACTGAATCGCATCCAGTGTGTGAAAATATACACATGGTCAACTACATGTGTTGGTGATGATGATACCAAAACTCTGACGAACTTGGTCTCTGTACATTTCCACTGAAATTACTATAATCAGTAGGGAAACTCCCAAGCTCAGCTGAGCAAAGCAAACACATATTCCTCCAACACCAGATTGCCCTCCAAAGAAAATCTACCCAGCACTTACCTCAACAAACCCTTCATAACTATATACCAATATCTCACCACCACATACGATAGCAACCACACTGCTGTACGCCGTATACGCCGCATCATCGATCACACAGCCAGCCTCCGGTGGGGACAGTAGAAGTCTCGACTCACTTTCTAGAGAGTCCACCACATATACCTGACTTCATAAGATATGGCTCGATCAGTGTAGAAAAATATGCACATGTTCAGCTGCATATGTTGCTAAAAATTATTGTTAGTTAATCTGGAGTAGCACTTCCTATCCTCATATCCCCATTCGTGTCATTTCATATCCATGACTATCTCTAGCTAGGACACAAGCTGCGCTAGTCCTCGTTGGGATAAAAACTACCGTAAGATCACATTCACAATTTTCCATTTCGAGAATATTAAAAGTTCGTCACATTGTGAGACCCGACTGATTATCAGCCAAGAATAAAAATTACAAATTGTCAAATTCTTCTACACTTATTCCTCACGAGTTTGGTTCATCGATGCTCACAACACGAATAAGTCTCTACTTCTCGAAAACACAGCCCTTGAAAATTCTAAGTTCGTTTCTGGTTAAGAGACTCGACTGACTTCCACTCCGAGACCCGATATCCCCATCATGTCCATTTTCATGCATTTGCATGAGAAAAAAAACCTCGTATTTTTTCAAGGGAACTATGAACTTTCGAGTGTGATATTGCATGCACAAGAGTAGAGATGGGCATACGGTGACACGGCGAACTACCGTAACCGTAACGTAATTCCGACGTAATGCAGTTATGGGCGCGCGCCATTCGAAACTAAAGATTCCAACCGCAACTGCCGACAGAGCCGATTTTTCGTTGAACACTGTGTGTTTAGTTTGCAGTTAACCGGGACGAGAGAAGCGAGTTGATCACAATTTGAATTTAAATACTCAACCACCCTGTCCGTTTTCGTGCATTTGCATGAAAAAAATCGAAAAAAAAAGCAGACATATTAGTTTGTCAAGGGGACTACGCCCTTTCGAGTGTGGAATTGCAATCATGAGGGAAGCTATTCGATCACAACTTGAATTTAAATGCTCAATTTCCTCCTTACCCCATCTTCATAAACCAGGAGCTCCCCCTCAGCCAAGACTGCCTTAAGACTTGTAGACTCACTCCTTAGCCAGGGGGAATCTTCTAGTTCTTCCAGGAGTGGCCCTTCACATGACGACGACTCTGCTACGAATACCGCTCTAGTACAGTCGGGAAATGCTAGGAGAATAATTGCACCTGAAAATTGTAATAGATGATCCTCGTGCAGTGTGGAAAAATATGCACATAGTGTTGGTGACGATGAGAAATTCTGAGGGAATTTTGGGAAGTTACTGGTGGTTGCCTCGTACCTCTAACCCTATAATTAGTGAGGAAACTCCTGAGCTCAGTAGCTGAGGAAAGCAAACATATATTCCTACTCCAACACTGTGTTCACTCCTGAGCTCAGTAGCTGAGGAAAGCAAACATATATTCCTACTCCAACACTGTGTTCACTCCTGAGCTCAGCTGAGGAAAGCAAACATATATTCCTACTCCAACACTGTGTTCACTCCTGAGCTCAGTAGCTGAGGAAAGCAAACATATATTCCTACTCCAACACTGTGTTCACTCCTGAGCTCAGCTGAGGAAAGCAAACATATATTCCTACTCCAACACTGTGTTCACTCCTGAGCTCAGCTGAGGAAAGCAAACATATATTCCTACTCCAACACTGTGTTCACTCCTGAGCTCAGTTGCTGAGGAAAGCAAACATATATTCCTACTTCAACACTGTGTTCACTCCTAAGCTCAGCTGAGCAGAGCGAACATATATTCCTCCAACACTGTGTTCGTGAATGTGGAAAGACAACTTACCATTCTCCACTTGAATGACGAACATCTTCTGCGGGGGGAATGGCCCAATGCTCGCCACTTCTGCCTCCAACGATATGCGAGGCTAAAGAAACATACTTTCAATGGAGTTTCACCACCCTAGTGATATGAAAAACTTATTTCTCGACTACTGCATAGCGCGAATATCGCGTTTTTCACCAAGTTTTACGCCACTTCACGTAAAACGGGTGAAACTCCAATACACCAGAATATTACAAATTTTGGGAAAGTAATGGATGTAGCAGTAAGTTCATACCAAAATACATGCAGATGTTGATGACAAAGCAGAATTCTGGATAGTTATTCATTATTATTCTCCTACCCTAAACCGCGTGTAAATTTTCATAAAAAAGTGAGAAGCGCCCTAACATGCTTTTCAACACTCCCTTCGGAGGGAAAAATTGTCTTCCTATAGACGATATCAACGACAATCAACCAGCCTCACTTACTGAGTCCAACACAATGAACGATATGCAGGATTTGGGGTATTTGCCACTCAATGCAATAGCCTGAAATACAATACATTGCGTGTATTCAGTTCATAAATCACTAGAGCTTCAGCCGTTTTTCGTGAAGTTGCGTAATACTCCATGTAAACAAAATTAATGTTTTTAACATCACGTTTTCACTTCTCGTTATTCATTGTCCGATCATTCTGATACGGCCAAGAGGAGAATATATGTTTCCAAATCATTTTACGATCGAAAACTGCGTAAGAAATAAGTGGATTCTAATCTAATAACACTTCCTGTTCCACCAACGACTAGCGCTGCGTGTGCTATGTCTTAGCCAAAGATATCAATGGAAGTGGAATAACACGAAATATTCAGTTCTCAGTTCAGATCAACATGATACTCTTACGGTTGAAATTTGGGCATGTGGTTCAATCACTGGGCAAGGCAGCTTAGTGTCTTCGTCTTCTATTGGTGCAGGCTCCCGAGGCAGCTTACTAAAGAAGAACTACGTATGGGAGAATATGCACATGGACAACTACAACATGTTAGAAATATTATGAAAACTGATAATACTTGTTGATGATCAACGAGAATTTTCCAAATTTACTAAGTCGCGGGGTTTAGCATTAATTTCGTCCCAACCGGTTCACTCACCAAATACGAGTGACCAGCGACGGCAGAAATGGGCGATCAACAGCACTAGGGGGCCAGGGTAATGCAGATGCCACGCAAAGACCAGCCCGACTGCTCCTGAGAATAAATCCTCAATTAAACCCGACCGTACCGCTACACTCACAAACTTCGCTCTATCTTGATGAGCTGTGAAGGCGCTCCGCATTCTCCTACACATAACACGTAACCGTCGTCGCCAATTGGAACTAGTTGACGAGCCGGACAAGGATAACTGACCGACGAATTCAGTCGATTTCACGAGATGCCGCCAGTCCGTACAGGAAGTCTTTCTTATGTGCGACTTCCATAATTCGTCTGCCCCCTTCATGCGACATTGAGAAGGACTGAAATCGACTAAGATGAATGTTGCGTTCACTCTCAAGTGCGCACCAATTTGATATGTAAATGTAAAAAATTGTACGTTTTCTATTCCGGGATTAATGAAGTTTCACCCGTTTTACGTGAAGTAGCGTGAAACTCGGTGAAAAACGCGATATTCGCGCTACACAGTAGTCCTGAAATATGTTTTTCTCAAGTGTCTTTCATATCGCGGCTGAAACTCGCTATCAGACTCTCGAAAAATTACTTTTATCAAATCACATGTATCATACCGTACAGTGAAAATGAATAATTTTATTTCTATAAATATAGTCCATCATCAACGGTAATGGACTCACCCACAGCTTTCCCATCGGGTCTGCCAAGAGCACCATCGGTTCACCGTTGACATCAAAGCACGGTGGCAGGATGCAATTACTTGATGTTATCGTCCCTACAGAACGTGGCATGGTACACACATCCAGTGTTCGAGTAAATATTAAACGGTACAGGGGTGTAACGAAGTAAAACTCTAGGGAGCTGGAGGAGACCCGCACGCATGTGCAGTTGGCGAGGGGTTGCCCTGCCGTGACACGCGTGTTGTGGTTCCAGTTTGCCTGCACCCTTGTTATCTCATCAAACCTTCGCCTTCCTTCTTATAGCGAATGAGCCCAATATCGATTACTGTGCCGCTAAGTGAGTGTGCATTCGCACAGAACTCAAGTTCAGGTAATGCGCTTATTGTTATTGTCCTAGGGTCATAGTATTGGTTGCTCTAGCTCGAGTTTCCTTGTTGTGTTGTTCTTAGAGTTCATCAACTGATACCCCGACACGCGGTGGCCGAAGTCAGCTCACGCGCCGAGGTCTCTAACAACCGTCAGGGGGTATTCTTTTTGCGGGCTACGGACTTCGCTCTCTCATTGTCCGTCCCTCTTCCTGAGTGATCCGTTGGTGAGCTCTCCTGCCCACTGTTTGAGGTGTTACTAACGGACTTTTGGAAGAGTTTAATACCGCAACAACAGGCACTTTCGCGTTGTGCGTGCGTGCAGAATTATTCTGGCTCAACTACGAAGCGTAGGGGGCCACCAGGTAGATCAAACGACTCTTCTAAGTGTAGGCAAAAATCGGAAAACTCAATTAGACGAACAGCTCGAAAAGATATGGACGAAAAACTTTAATGACGAAAAAATGTCCTACCCGGGGATCGAACCGGGGACCTAGGACAAATTCATTGATCGAATCAATAGACTCTGACTAAGTGTCGTCACGAAGGCGTAGTATATGTTCGCTTTCCTCAGCTAAGCTCGATAGTTTTCTCACTGATCATAAAAACTCGCGTAGAAGTGTACAGAAACTAACAAAGAAATTCACCAAAATTCATACTGTCACCAACACATGTTATGTGGTTTCCCAAACTGTGCATATCTTTGAGTTCAGTATGAGGACAGATCCTCCCTTGGTGTTGCTCACCGACGAAGGCGTCGTCCTCCCTCGTATGCAGTGCAGGTCGTCTCATCGGTGATGGCGGTGGCAAAGGCGAGGCTTCGACTAACGATGTGAAAAGATGAGATATTCTGACTTGTAATGAACAGCGGCAATTTGATACTACGCAAAGGTGAAGAATGTGCGTTTCCTATTCCGGGATTAATGATAGTGAACAACTTGTCGCTATCATAATCCCGGAAAGTTACTTTTATCACATCACATGTTCATAGCAATGTTTACATTGTTTATGCGATATAGTTTCAGATCGATTTTTATCAAGTCTAGAAAATAACACACAATTTTTACACTTGCACACGAAATAGAACGTCGACAAAAGTGTATCGAATCTCACCGATGAGAGGTCGAGTACGGCTCATCCCCCTCAATGTGGCCCTTCTTGCGTTGGTACCCCATACTGACAGGGACTTCACAAAGTGGAGAAGTTGCGGTGATGGAGCCTAAAGATGGACTCACGATTCGGCATTCCATCCTCAGTTTGGGACTGCGAAACGCCATTGGTAAACCCAGCTAATGGACCAGTGTTGGTAGCCAGTGTAGAAAAGTATGCACATGATTAACTACATGATAAAATTTCTGATGAAATTCCGGAAAATTCTTGTTGTTTTTACTCTCTGGAGTCAACAGCCTTGATTTTGCGCAATGAAAAACTCCCGAAGATGTTTGTCACTCATATGTGAGCGGAGCCACATATGAGCGAGTGCGTGAAACAAATACGGAGATTTGGAGATGGTGAGATAACCGATCAGGCGGATATAGTATATCCGATACACTCAGTAAAAAATAGGCGAATCCTCATGCGATGCATCACTAAAAATGCCGAGCCTGGGTTTCGATCCGGGGACCTATACCGCGCTACAGGTCCGAGCGCGACAGACTGGCACGTATCGTGAAAACCTGGTTGTCTGTGAATATACTCGTATAGAACCAACCCTCACAGGAGACGTAACGGTGAAGGGAAGCTTACGATGCAGCCCGGTGGTGGAGGGTCTTCAATCAGAGCACCTCGGCCATCTTTCTCATCTTCGGTCAATCGACATCTCTCATCATATCTTAGCGAAACAGATTCAATATTCACGCTGAATATCATCACATTTTATTTGCTCAGCTGAGCCTCGGAGTTTTCTCACTACATTATGGCACTTTACACACAACTTGGGGTTGTAGAAGTGTATAAAAATCGATAAGAATTTCTCACACTGCTATGTAAAGATGACAGCTCTCACCTTGAGCTCCCATCAACATCAGCTTTCGCTTCGCTCATTATCACTCTATGGGCCGACCACTGGGACCTGGGGATTGGTACTGATGAGAGTGTATAATATTGTTTCATTTAATCCAAAATGTGGTATTTATATATTAATATTATATGTTCATCAAGAGATATCATATCCACATCTCAGCAACTTTCCATAAATTCTCAGCAAGTCGGAGTTCACCGACTAGTACATCGTCACCCGGACCTTCCTACAGTATTTTCACTCGGCCGGATGCTGTGCCAAACCGTATGTATTCTGTCCCGTCTGTGTGTGTACTGTACAACTAGCAGTATTTTTGAGCTGTGACGCTGTTCATGAGTACTTCAAGTTCTTGAAAATATGGCAACTTCCTTATGAGTTATCTCGACCCTATGCGGATCAGTGCTTACTTGATCTAGTGGGTTTCATCACTAATTTCCATGGTTCATCATTCCCATGATTTTTTACACCGTTCAATATTTTCACACTCGTATATACAATCAACAGAAAGAAAAACTCCCCTGAGAAGATCTCCATGTGTGTTCTACCCCCGGGATGAATTTAAGTTATACAGAGTTGTCACTAAAAGTATCACATACCTTTCTATCTTCAACAACATCATGTCGCAAACTCCTATCACGAACTTTCCATCTCGTCCGGTCATCAGTGAGAGCGGCGTCAAATTGGTACCCGGGGCGTCTGATGGCATCAAAATAAACGAAAAATCGAATCGTACTTCACCTGTGACGGCTGCAATACGAAGGCTGCTGTTGAGTATGCTTGTATGAGTAACTGAAGAGAAACAACCGTAGAAAATGATGGCGATGATAAGAATCGATCTGAAACTATATCGCATAGATATTGTTAACATTTCTATGAACATGTGATGTGATAAAAGTAACCTTTCGAGACTATGATAGCGACAAGTTGTTCACTATCATTAATCTCGGAATAGAAAACGCACATTCTTCACATTTGCATACACACTGGTACGATGACCTCAATCGAACATGAGCTCACTTGATGGGTCCACCAACAGTGTGATACTCTTATAAGAAGGAGCTGCCAATACACATATTGTCGTACCGTTAAATGGCGAACACAGTGCAATCTGTGAGGCACCAGTCACGTAAGAAAAGTCACATTATCGTATTGATAAAACTAACGGCTCATATTCAGCCTGCCGACTTCCCATGTGTTGAAATATATTCTAGTTTTCCTCAGCTGATTCCAGATTTAATTATACACGTTCATATACAAAACTCAGGTAGAAATGTGTAGAAAGCAAAAAGAAATTCCCAAAATTTCCGAAAAATTTCCATATTGTCACCAAACATGTGCATATTCTCCCACCCTGACCGAAACAAAGGTAAAAAGCTCAGGTACCACGTAACTATTCTAATCCC